CTTTCGAGAATATTTTTATTACTATTAAGCAAGAATCAAACCCTTCAAATTTCACCGATTCAATTTTCCTATAACTCATTTTCAGAGAAATTTGTGTATAATAGAAGGTAAGAGTTATAAGTAGCTTATCTGAAAAGTTACCAATCCGAATCACCTTCCACCGCTTTAAAATAACTTATCTTAGCTCCTCATCCCTTCTCCTCTCTCTATCTCGTGTGTTTCTCAATTTTACTCCTTTGAAATTTTTGAATTTTCACGACTTACGAAGGCAATTTCTTGTCCATACGCTACGGTGTATGCTGTACAAGCCGTGGCACATGACATACTGAGATTTATTCTCACCACACATACTTGTTTCGACCTAAAACACACTCATATCACCCATATATGTTCATTCAACACACAAACAAGTCAAAATACCACTTAATCATCTGAGTCTCTAATCCCATACTAACTACCACTTCACCCTCGATTAACCTCTAAATTTAAGATTAAGAAATTCAGGATGTTACATAAAATCGGTGCCATTAGCTAAAGTTCAAAGAAAGCTCTCTATAGATATCTAAATCACCTCAATCGGACATTAGACGAAGAAATAGAGTGCGTCAGAAGTTTGTCCTAAGAGCTATCATGTGATAGCTGTTGCTATCATGAAATGCATCGCAATGCATGGCACGGAGGCAAATGTGCCGTGACATGTTCGTAATGAGCCATGGTGCACCTCTATCTTTTATACTGAAATGATGTTTTCCAACTCCAAATGCAAATGTTTTAGTTCAAACTGGATTCCCATACTTTTGTAAACTTATGTAACTTTGATTTTGGTTATAAATTGTTACTAGGATGATTTTGAAAGCTTTTCAAAACTTGTGGTCCCTTATATGTAAAAATTTTCACTAACAATCAACAATGGTCAAACATTATTGCACTATTTTTATAACTTTTGAAGTAACATATACCAATCAAAAGTTAAGGATATCAATTACACCTGACGAAAAAAACTGCCCAAGCAAACTTACGCTTTAACCTCTCACAATTTTGCTTTACATATTGAAAATAGATTTAAAAAAAAAGTAGTAAGCATTAATTATGTTGCATATCTTCTTGGCTAATATAACAACCATCACTTGAATTACAATCCTACTAAATAACATGCTTTAATAATCTATATACTCCATCCATTTAAAAATACAAGGTATTTTTTGAGGAGTTGGATATTCAAAAATGTAAGACATTGTTAGTCTTTCGAGGTATAATCATTATTTTTTTTCCAAAAGTGCTCTTATTAATAAATGACTTTATATCTATTGTAGGTGTTTAATAAGGATAAATATAAAAAATAGAGTTATTTAAAAAGTAAGTAACTACTTTATTGAGGGTAAAATTTGATTAAAAATGCCTTATATTTTTTAACAGAGGAAGTACTTCTTTTGTTTAGCATTATAAGATACTTTTAATTAAATTATATTTTTAATGAGTTAGTTAATTGTCTTTAAAATGGGACATTCTTTCAACATTTAATCTTATTTAATATAGAATGTCTTCATTTGAAAACTTTATTAATAACACCAGGCCATAATCAAGGGCATGTTTAGAAAAAGCCTTATTAATAAAATCGTAAAAGACCCAAAATATTTTATATTTGTTGACATGATATTTATTAAAAAAAAGTCTTACAATACTAATAAATGGACAAAGTACTATTTCTTACCATCATTTAATAAAAGGTAAAAAAATTGTGATGAAAAAATTAATAACATGCCTTGCAAATAGGGAAAAAAATTAGTCTCCCTCATCTTATGAATTAAATATGACTAGAGGAAATATTTTCTTTTATTGAGGTTTAATTTTTCCCAAATTAAACCTTTGAAGCGGACAAGATATCTACCTTAAGCAATATATATTGTTTCCCCTTTTCTCTCCACATTTATTCTTAGTAGAGTTTTTTGTCGGATTAGTAGAGAGATGCACCAGTGTAATATTGCTACATACTTAATTAGATATTTTATGATCTTGAAGACTTATCACAAAGTCACTTGAACTTAGTTATAGAGCCGGTAATTCAGGTCGGGTTTATTCAAATTAGACTTAACATATTTTACTCTATTTAAAAAGTCTATATAGCTAAACTTAACTCTAACACTTTGACGTTTTGAGTTTATTGGGCTGGTTTGAATACCCAAAACTTTTAAAAATATATTTCTTTATTTTTTAAACCAATTTGAATTTTTTAAAAATTTTGTTAAGCATAAATATTATTTTGATTTTCAAAGAATAAAAGAAAAAATAATAACTTATCAACTTTATACTTAAATAACTCTGTTATTGTTTTGTTATATTATATGAAACTTTTTTAGGAATGTTTCCTTTACTCATAAATTAATATTTTAATTATTTAAATATTGCTCTTATCATGATCATATATAAATATTTTATATATTTTAAGTAAATTATATTATTTTAATTATAATTAAGTTGATCTCAATTTAAATACATTTAAATCACTAATTTAAAATTATTGTCTCGATTAGTTCAAAATTTTTAATAACTTTTGGCTAAATTATACTTTTTATTTTTAAAAATATAAAAAATAATCATCATTATATTATATAAAAGAATCATTTAATTTAAGAGTAAAAGACTATTTTTTAAAATTATTTTTTCTTCAAATTTTTATAACCCCTACATACAAGGTTATTTACTTTAATTTATTCCTAATTATTAACCAAGTCTGACATGAATAATGATTAAACAATTATCGAAGAATATTATTTTATTTATCATGATTATCTAGTATTAGAATTGAGAATTTATATATGCCCAAATTTTATTTTTAAAATTTTTTAATTTAATTTTTAGTTTAAAATTAATCATCTTATTTGATAAAAAATATTAAATATATTTTTTTAGATAGTTAAATGATGTATAGGAGTCAAAACTTTTTTTAAAAAATAATTGAGTCTTAAAATATAAAAATTAATATTAAAAAATATTTTTAATATTATTTTAAGATATTTTATTAATTAAAAATAACAAAAACATAAAAAAATAATTTTTTAAATTTTTTAGAAAATAATTATATTAATCCACTCAAATATATAATATTTTAATATAAAATAACATAAAATTTAAAAATTAATTAATATTTATTATATTTTTATATTTTTTTAAAATATTATTTTATTATTCAGGTCAAGTCTGAACTCAATCATGTTGGACCTGACATTACAAAATATTTTTTAAACTTGATTTTAAATTTTTTGAAAGTATACAGGTTGATCCATCAAACGTAATTTAAATCATCAACTTTAATTAGTCATTATATAAAATAAACTTATAGGCTGGCTTGAAACAAATTCAAAGCGTCCTTTTTTTTTTTTAACTAGTCTTTTCTTCTTGAGTCAGTTTTCAAACTTCAATCATTCGTTTTGCTTTGTTTATGCACATCAATCAATCATATTCATTGTCACTAAAGTTGGAGGGGACAACAGAAAAAGAAATGTTACAAGTTAAAACTCCTCAACTTTCTTTTTGGCACATCATGCATTACATAAGTCGATGCATCAGAGTTCCTTTACACATTTTGTTAATGTACAATCTAAATAAGCCCTACAAAATGTATTAGGTCAAACTAAATTTTGATCTGTAAAGCATTATTAACTTTTTGTAGGTCAGAACCCAACAGAAAATACACCGGCGAAGGAGTTCATCATGTAATCTTTTTTTTTTTTTTAAGGCATATGTAAATTTATGTTAATTAATAATTTGATCTCTTATATTTTTTTAATTATTTTAAAAAATAAAATTAACTTTCAAAATAATTTAATATATCATGAATATTGATGATACACACACATGTAACTAAATGAAAACAAATTAAGTTACAAATTAATTTAATTTTTATTAATATAATATTATATCATATTGTGTTTTGTTCTCTCTTTTTTTTTTTGGTAATTTGAGAGTTTATTTTTTTTTTTTACCTACATAATTAAAATTTTTTATTAATTTACATGATTGTTATTAATATCAACAAATTTTAATAATGTAACATCCTTGTTAAACAAGAACCAAATTGGTAACATAACTAAACTTAAGAGATGAAATTGATTAAAAAAAATATCAAATTTGAGAGGACATGATAGTGAATCAAACTTAAGAAATTAAAAATTACATTGTCTTTTTTTATTATTAAATTAATTGTCCCCCCCCCCCAAAAAAAAAGAAGGATAGGCCTGAAAGTAAATATTAAAAAATAAAAAAAAATTAAGTAATAAACTCATAAAATATTGCATTATTATACTCTAACCTCAACGCGATTGCCCGAGATTTGTTGGCAGAAAGAGGATGCCACGTATTGCATTTAATTTACGGAAACATAAAAGGTGAGGAAGTAGTGTATTTTGAATTTTTGATTAAATAAAAGATAAAAGCGCACACAATATCTCTAAATTTTAAATCATATATAAATAACTTCCTTACCTTATAAAACTTAATAATAAACGTCTTTAAACTTTTAAATTTATACAGATAATCTCTAATCATTAAACTTTATTTTTGTATGCATTTAAACCCTCAAATTTTAAGTTATATATAGATAATTAATATATAAAATTAATCACATAAAATAATCTTTATAAATATAAGGCCCTATTTGGTTTGGGGGGGAGGACCCTCCCCTCATTTGGTTAGGAGGAGGGGAGCCCCTCTCCTCCCCTCCCCTCCCCTCTTTTGGTTAGAAGGAGTGGAGGGGAAATTTTTAAAATTTTTCCTCCTCTTCCCTCCAAAGCCTCCCCTCCAAATTGGGAGGAAGCTCCCCTCCCCTCTCCTTCCCTTCCCTCAAAGCAAACAAATCCTAAGAGTTGAGGAGAGTTTATTATAAAGTTTTAAAGATTAAGAAAGTTATACATATAAGGTTCAAACTTCAAGGGAATAATATATAATTTAGTCTAAATAAAATGCAAATTCAATGCCTTTATGTGAGAAATCAAGAGAGGCAATAAAATTAAATAAAAGCTCATTAATCATTATAATTTAAAACAAACTTAGTGTGAGAGAAAGGAAAGAAAAAATATTTTTGTAATCAGGCCTTGCTAATGAACTCCACATCAAATAATAGGACCGCATTGGGAGGGATGATACATGAACCTACATCACACAAAGGACTTTTCAGATACTATTTCCAATTAATTCAAATTTTAAAAAAATCGAATAAAAAACTATAATGTGATGTAGATATTGTAACACAGCAATATAAATAATAATTTGTAAACATAATTTAAAGTATCATATACTCCCTCTATCTCAAATTATAAGACATTTTTAAATAAAATCTCACATATCAATAAACCTTATTAAATACACTTAACAATTTTATCATTATAAAATAAAAATATAAACTTTTAAAAATACCCAACATTTAATATATTGAAAAGAGGAGAAACGGAAAGTAATTATAGAGAGAAAAGTGATAATATTAAAATTGATACATTTAATAAAACATTAATCTATTTAAAGTGTCTTATATTTTAAAATGAAAAAACTCGTTCAAATGTGTTCTAAAATTTGGAATGAAGGTAGTAATATCTTAATCTATACTATGGAGTAAGATTCCATTCATGGACCGAGATATAAATAAAATGTAATTAAAAAGATAAGTGAGAAAATAATCCCACTTGCAGTTTTCGTTAGTTAACAGATGGGACCTTAGATCATACTTCCACTAAAAAAAAATTAAAAAAATTATAAATGAGAAATTGTTCCACTCGTTTTGAATAAAAAATAAATATCTTTAAATAACAATAGTAATAAGGATATAATAAATAATATTTTTTTTGTTTTTTTATAAAATAAAAAAAATCAATCCATTTCTCAATGTTACACAAAGAGCTCTTAGAAAGAAGAGGATTGAAGAAGACCAAGAACTCTTAGTTCAAACCAATATCAGCTAAAACTATACATTTTTTTCACACATTAAATACGATAAAATATGTGATAAGTTGCACTACTCACAAGTATAATTCGTTTCTAAAATGTTAGTTTGAAATACTACCTCCAGAGCTAGAGCATATATATATATATATATATAGAGTCAAAAAGGAAAAGATGTGGACTTGCCTCCTCTACAACCAGCACCTCTTGAGCCGTATGCAAGTTCTGGAGGAATTTTCAATGTTCGCTTACCTCCTATATATTTTATATAAACGCACATATCATGGGTGATTGAAATTTGAAAATCTTAGAAAAAGCATGGCATGTTGCAAACAAAACCAATGAATTCAGAGTTGAAAAAGTACCTGCAAGCATGGGAGGTATTCCATCACCTCCTAATATCCCTTCATCCCATCCTTTGATCACCTGTTCTCATTAATAATAATAATAACAATAATAATAATAATAATAATAATAATAATAATAGAAGAAGAAGAAGAATGCATCAATCCATTTGTTATTTCTCAAACTTTCCTGGATTCTATCTTGTTCACCCCATATAGAGGTTCTGTAATCATAACCTTAGAATGCAGAATATGAAGATAACTCTGGGCTGGAATGTGTTGCTGAGCGCTAAATGGACATTATTACCAGCAGTGAAATGATGATTGTGTCCTCTTTACTTTCAAACTTGATTCCTCAAAATTTAGCAATTACAAGGTCCAACAAGCTAGCATACAAGTATTTCTGTGATTAGGTGTTACTTCAACATGCAATGACAATTTCATAGAGCAGTGTATCACTCTAGTAAATGAAGTTACAAGGAATATATCAACACTAATCATTCTGCATCCAGTAGACAGAATGTGAGAATGATAAGTATATAGTGTATACATGCATATATAGTCTACTTTAATTTTCATTGATATATTCCTTGTCTGTTAAACCTTAGATAAACGCAATTAAGATTTGAGACTAATTAAAGAGTATCTTCTTGAGAGCAAAACATGAATCTAGTCGATTATTATTACTACCATTGGGAAGCACAAAAGATTAGCATACCTCCCCAACGCCCACACGGAATGTAAGAGGCTTGCCACGATTATAGCTGCTGTCAAAAATTTTCCCATTCTCTAATTTCCCTACATAATGCGCCTATTCACTCACACACACAAACACAAAGAGGATCAACAAGAAATCACGTCATTTCAATTTCGCCAGAATCGATTCTAAAACCAGAGGAATAATGTGATTAGAACACAGAAAACCTTAATGAGCTGTCCCTTAGCAGCTTGAGGACCAGATCCGACGAGTTTATCACAGAAGGCGATACCTGAAGCAGCAACTGTCAGGTCGCATGGAGCTGCTGCTTCGGCTGCTGACGTGGCTTGTGGTAGTGAATGAAGCACAACATTGCAAAGGCCAAATCCAAACGCAAGCCCTAATGCTTCTCGTCGCTTAAACTGTGAGGTTGCGCTCGTGTTGCGCTTGTCATCGGCCGGTCTTTGCAGGATTACTGAGGGATGATTTCTTGAGAATGGGATGAAATTGGACGGCTTCGTTGGAGAATCATTGTTTTGACTTTGAGAGAGGAAGCAACAAGTACTGAATTTGGGTTTGGAGAGGCCTGTTTTGATGCGTACGCAAGGAGAAGAAGCAGGAGATAAAGAATATAGCAACGTAATCATTTCCAGAAAAACCAGAGTAAAGCCCTGTAGTATAGTGTTGTGCAGAGGATCATTGGCTTCAACACAATGGATTTTGTGGTGGAAATTGCCTCTTCGTGAAAATATCAGAAACTGTCCGATATCGATACTGTACTTTGGGTTGGGCTAATTCTTTAAATTAAACCCATAAGCCCGCTTTTGATATCAAAAATAAAATGAGGGAGGAAATATAATTTTAAATTTCTGTATTTTGTTCATATTTTATTATTAATTTTTTTTTAGTATTTCAGGTTCTTATATTTTGTTTTTATGCTCTAGATCCTTCCAAAGTCTCTACACTTTATTCATGAAGGAACCTAAAACACTGAAAAATAAAAATATAGAAAGCTAAAATACAAAAAAAGGTAGAGGGATCAGTAGTAAAATACAAGAACTAGTTATATTTTTCCTAAAATGGGAGTGAAAACATCGCCCAACAGCCAGTCATTATTAGAAGAGACTATAACTATTTAAACATGATATCAAAATATCTTTGAAAGGATTATTTTCAATAAAATCTAATTATATTTAAATTTCATATAATTAGATGGTCATACATATACATATATATGTAGTATTTGAATATCTCAATTCATATGAATAAATAAAATAATGTATCCGTACCTAAATAATCCATGGATCATTTGAGAAAGCTCGATTACCTCAAGTGTAGACAGATGCACAACCCACTAGTCCCTAGAGTCTTCAGAGAGTGCAGAGATAATGAAGCAGAAGAATGAGTCATGTGTTTGCAGTTATCGACTGATCGACTTATATAGATCAGATCGATAACTGCCTTATTAAATAATTAAATAATTATTATCTATTATCTCTGACTCAGTCAGTTAATAGATAGAAAATAACTGACAGTTACTAGGTTTTGGGTTGAGCCTCTGCCCATTAGGTTCACTTGTGTGGTCTACCTATCACGGTCCACACAAGATTATAAGGACCAATATGCTTGGACTCATTAATGAATGTTAATCTATAATAAAATTCCAACAATTTCTCACTTGGATTGCATTAATTAAGCAAGTTGTATAAACAAGCTACAAACAAAATTCAGAAATGAAACTCCATAAAATTACTGGATCCTATGGAAAAACAAGTGATATAATGTCTCATAATTTGAATAAAATATGAAATTTTATTTTAAACACAGCTCAGTAAAATAACAACATAAATCATTAATTCTTATAGGGAAACAAGTGGCATGCATAGCGTACCACAACAGAATCATTGAATCCTATGGGGATACAAATGATATAGATGTATCTAACTGAACTGAACATAAATCACAAAAGAAAAATAAAGCCTAAAGAGAAATTGCAATACAAAAGGTTTTCAAACTCCTACTAAACCAGGGCATCAAAGGAATTCACAATATCCATACAAGTTACATGATTTTGAAAAACTTCTACAAGTAAGCCCTTAGTCAGCGAATCTGCAAGCATCTGCGTGTCAGGAATGTGTACTACACGAGTCTAAGACTCAATAATTTTCTCTTTCACAAACATAAGTTTGATATCAAAATGCTTTGTACGACTAGAATTTCTATGGTTGTTAGCATAGTATACTGCAAATTTGTTATCACAGTAAATGGTTAGAGGACATGATATTGACTCAACTAGGCGTATGTCAGATATCAACTTCCTTAGCTATATAGCGTGATGTGTAGTCTCAAAACAATCAATATACTCAGCTTCTACAAATGAAACTACTGTAAGTGTTTGTTTCACACTTTTCCAAGAAACAACTCCTCCAAACAACATGAAAATGTAGCTGGTGGTGGATTTACAATCATCCAGACAAGAGGCAAAATCTAAATCTGAAAAGCCAACAATTTTAAGATCTTCTAATCCCTTAAAGTCATAATTAGAATACCCAACAACCTCAAGAGAATTTGACTTTCTGTAAGTCAACATATAATTCTTCATACCTTGAAGATACCTCATAACTTTCTTAATAGCCTTCCAATGATCCAGACCTAGATCATTTAAGTATCGACCTAGCACTCCAATGGCAAAGGCTATATCTGATCGAGTACACACTTGAACATACATAAGGCTGCCAACAACGGAAGTATATGGTATCTTTCTCATTTCAGCCCTCTTCTTATCATCCTTGGGACACTGTAACTCTGACAAAAGCTCACCTTTCTGTATAGGAGCAGGTAAGGGAAAACATGAATCCATTCTAAATTTCTTAAATACCTGCTCAATATAGGTGATTTGTGATAAACTAAGAATACCACGAGATCTATCACGATGAATCTATATCCCAAGAACAAAGGAGGCTTCATCCATATCCTACATGTCAAAATGGCAAGACAATAGGTGTTTTATCTCATTGAGAAAATTCATTAAATTTCTGGCTAACAAGATATCATCAACATAGAGGATGAGAAGGGTAAAATTGTTCCCATCAAACTTTGATAGATACACTAATCTGAGACATTCTCGATAAAATTGAATGAGGTGATAACTTCATTAAACTTTAGATATCATTGCTTAGAGGCCTGTTTTAGCCTATAGATGGATCTCTTCAATCTACACACGAGGTGTTCTTTACCAGATTCAACAAAACCATTAGGTTGTGTCATGTAGACTTCTTCATACAAATCGTCATTCAAGAATGCAGTCTTGACATCCATCTGGTGAAGATTAAGATTAAACTGTGCAACTAAAGCCATTACCACTCTAAAAGCATCTTTGGTGGATACCGGAGAGAAGGTCTCTGTGTCATCAATACCTTTTTCTGGTTGTAGCCCTTAGCTTAAGTCTGGCTTTGTATTTATCAATTTCACCTCTAGCTCCTCCTTTTATTTTAAAGACTCACTTATAACCCACTAGTCTAAAACCTTTTGATAGCTCTACAAGCTCCCATACGTGATTGCGGTACAAAGAGGCAATTTCTTCACTCATAGTCTCCAACCATTCAGAAGAATGCAAGCAAAAAAGAGCCTCTTGGTAAGATATTAGGTCTAAACTATCAATAGCATCTGAATCAAATTCTTGTAAATACACCATGTAATCATCTGGAATGGTAGACTTGTGAACCCTTTAGGACTGTCTTGGTTCAATAACCAAATCTCTATTACCCTCTAAAGGTGGTTCATCTTCAGCTTCATCCTGATCCACGGCATTATTTATGTCAACTTGAGGGGTTGTCAAAATAGGCATAGGCAAAATATTGCTTTTGTCATGTAAAGTAATATGCCTGGGCACAGAGCTCCTACTGTCTAAGACATCTTCAAAGAAATAAGCTTGGTAAGATTCAATTACCCTAGTAGTGTAATTTGGACAATAGAATCTGTACTCATGAGATCTGATGCAATAGCCAATAAAGAAACCATCAACAGTTTTAGCATCAAGCTTCATCTATTGTGGATTGTAAGGTTTTACTTGTGCTTTACAACCCCAAACTCACATATGTTTCAGTACAGGAGTCCTTCCAAAATATAACGTGTATGGAGTCTTTGGAACTGACTTGCTAGGAACTTGATTCAAAATATAAACATCGATTTTAAGTGAATCACCCCACAATAATTCCGGCAGGGAGGAGTAACTGATCATGCTTCTAGCCATATCCATGAGAGTATGATTTTGCCTTTCTGCAATCCCATTTTGCTCGGGGTGTCAGGCATAGAATACTGAGCTTCAATGCTATACTCTTGAAGGTACAAAGCGAATGGCCCATGGTTTCTGCCAATCTCAGTATATCTCCCATAAAATTTCCCTCCTCTGTCAGATCTCACACATTTAATCAACTTACCAGATTTCAATTCGATTGCTACTTTAAGGTCTTGAATGCATTAAGAGACTCGCCCTTTTTACGTAAGAATTCAATCCATCTATGACGAGAGTAATCATCTGTGAATGTGATAAAATATCTAAAACCACCCATAGCCAAAACTGTGATAAGTCCATAGATGTCAGTATGGATTAGGTCTAAAGTGTTTTTAAACCTCTTTACCCCTTTGGTTCTAGCTCTAGCAGGAAATTTTTCCTTTATACAGTTAACACAAGTCTCAAAATTTGAGAAATCAAGGTCTTGTAAGACACTATGCTTGGCCATGCGTTCCAATCTCTCTCTAGAAATATGACCCAAACGATGATGCCATAACATGAAGGAATTATCATTGGGCCTTTGACGTTTATGCCCAATGGCAACATTAATATGGAGATTAGAAAGTTCAAGTAACCAATCATTCAATTGATATAATGGAATCAAAACAAATATCAATTTTCTCATTTCCTTGAAAGAATGAATAGCCACAAATATTCAATGCAGAAGTTGAAATTAAATTCCTCTTCGCAGAAGGTATATAAATAACATTGTTCAAATTTAAACATGACCAGAATTTAAATACAAAAAAATAGTTCCAATGTATTCAACTGATGCCTTGCTCCCTGCTATGCCAAAAACTGACTTCTATGCCTCACTTGGAACCTTCTGGTTTCTTAGCCCCTGTAGAGAGTTCACAACATGTACAGTGGCACCAGAATCCAACCACCATGAGTGAAAGAAAGTTTTAATAGTGTTAGATTCAAAACAAACTAGAGCTAAAGAGGCAGTTTGAAGAATTGTACCTTCACTTTCTTATTTGTTCTTTAGTTTGACGCAATTAGCTTTAATGTGACCCGGTTTCTTGCAATAATTGCATAACCCTTTAAAGGGTTTCTTCCTCAACTTCTTACTCTTACCCCCATCCTTCTTAAAAGTTGGATTATTGAGCTTTGGAGCCTCATGCTTCTTCCCCTTTTTCTTGTACGACCCTCGAGATTTGCTACTAGAGCCATGAGAAACATAGTTTATTGAGTGAGAGAAATTCTTCTTTATAGCTTCCTCTTCTTAAGTAACTATTGACATCATCTGGTCAATAAACTATTCAGTTTCTTGTGAGTTGTATGAAGTCCTCAAGAATGCGTATTCTGATGGTAGTGATTGAAGAATACGGTAAACTAAGGTACTTTCACCCAAATCAATCCCATATGACTTAAGCTTGTTGTAGTAATGAACAAGCTTCAAAATATGCTCCCTGACACCAGAAACTTTGTCATATCAAGTATTGTCAAGAAGTAATAAATAGTAGTTCTTTTGAGTCTTGTCAAGCTTCTTGTATTTATTACCAACAACTTTCAAGTATTCCACTATAGTATCCTTTTTAGAAACGCTGTCCTTAATTTCCTTTTCAATTGTGTACTTGATGATCGCAAGATAGAACCAATTGGACTCACTCCATTGTTTATGGAAGACCATTTTAGAAGCACTGAACTCAGAAGAGAAATCTGCAGGCTTGGGCTCTTTCAGATCTAAATCTTTCTCAAAGATGATCAGATACATATTCAGAGACTCTTTTTAGTCATCATAGTTAGTCCCATTGAGAGCATTCACAAAGGATAGTTGCACAAAAACAGAAACTGAAATCATAAAATAGAAAATGAAAAATATTAATTCTGCGTGCATAACATAATTATAAAACATAATTTCCCAACAAGTGATTATCAATTATGCAACTATAATCATGCACCCAAAAAGGCTCAAACACTATAAAGATTTAGCTCATATAAAAGTCCAAACAAAATAATGCATTAAATATTTTCAAACTTATATGGTACAATAAATATCTAACACATTAAAGGAGTGCTATTAGCCTATCTTAAAAACTAACCATCAAAATCACATTAATAATATCACACCTATAGGATATGTCCATTATCAATGCTACAAGATCCTAAGGATTATCAATAATTCACAAAGTCACAAATTTTATGACCTTAGGACAAAACAAAATTATTTTAAAAGTTCTTGGGGTCTTTTGGGAATTAGAGAACAAATTTGGGACTTAAATGGAATTTTGAAAAAGTGTCCAGGTGTAAATAGGTAATTCTGGAAGAGATTTGGATCAAAATTGCAATTCTGGAAGTTAAGGGACCCAAAATAAAATTTCAAAAAATTTATTAGGGTTACAAAAGAAATTCCAAAAATTATAGGCTGAAGAAGGTAATTTTGTCCTGTGATCAAAACGTAATTAACAAAAATATAGTAGTTTTTTTTTTGGTGTATTGTACTAGGCCTATATGATTTGGGCCAGTACTAGTTTCTTTATAAAATTATGTGGTCCAGCCTACTAGAAACAAAACTGCTCCCCTCTTTTTTTAATTGTGATTTAGACCCATACGAAAATGGCCCTAGAACTTGTGGAACCGGATCCCTAAGATTCGATTCCTGACCCTGTTCTGGGTCTTCTCCAGCGGCGAGCTGGAACCAGAAGGACACCATCATCTAGACGGACGGGGGGACCATCGCCGGCGACCAACCACGACATTGTCCCTATCTCCGACGGTGTGAACCAAAGCCAGGGGAGAACGACGAGCGACGCCATCGCCATAAAGGAGCAGTGATTGTCCGTGACTCTGACAGCTTCTTTGACGACGTGAACCAAAGGCAAGAGAGATTCTATGTCGGATTCCAGAAAGATTACAAATCCATATCGAATTTGGTAACTAGATCAGATTCATAGTTTCGCATGCATTAAAGAATTGAGATATATAGGTTTAAAATTCTTTAACTAAGGCTCTAATGCCACATGTAGTATTTGAATATCTCAATTCATATGAACAAGTAAAGTAAAATATGCGTACTTGAAGAATTCATTAATCACTTGAGAAAGCTCGATTACCTCGAGTGTAGACAAATACACAACCTACTGGTCCCTAGAGTCTTCAGAGAGTGTAGAGATAAGAAGCAAAAGAATGAGTCGTAAATTTGCAGTTATCGACTGATTGACTTATATAGATTAGATCAGTAACCGTCTTATTAAATAATTAAATAATTATTATCTATTATCTCTGACTCAGTCAGTTAAGAGATAGGAAATAACTGACGACTACTGGGTTGTGAATTGGGCTTCTGCCCATTGGACTTACTTGTGTGGTCCACCTATCACCGTTCATACAAAATCATAAGGACCAATCTGCTTGGGCTCATTAATTAATGTTAATCCATAATAAAATTTCAATAATATATATATATATAGCCAGTAAAGGTTTATGGGATTTAGCTTCAAATCTCGATAAGAGAACACATTTGGGAGGCAAACCTGTGAGCAGTTTTGTAATTGCTCTTTGCGTCCAACTGCATGCCTTGACCTCGTGAACCCTTAAAAACCAATTTATCTAAATTTACAATAAATAAATAACAAGATCATAAATTTATAAATAAATAAAAAGTGGAGAAATCCTTGTGTGCTCTACAAATTTTTAAATTTTAAATTTAGAAATGATCATTATGAACGAAATTTGAACTTTTGAAAATGACGAACAGCGTTCATCCACATTAATATAGATAGCATAGAAGCAATGCATTCGTCGTTGCTTACAAAATATTTTATAAAAGTTCATGTTTAGGCTTTTTTTTTTTCTTTTTTAAATCTTGATGTTTAGTTCCTAGCAACATTGACATTTGATATAGTAAGCCTAACATTTATGCTAATAGTTATCAGATTTTCTAATTAAAACATACCAAATATGTAATACTATTTTTACTAGTAACATGATAAAGGTATAATTTGAATAAGGGTTAAAAAATATTTTTACCTTTCAATTATTTGCGTAGGATCATTTGGTATCTTAAGTTTTCATATGATGTAATTTTCTCTTTTAACTTTTGAAACTAGGATGTTGGATACCTTGCTATGAAAGAAATTAACTTTAATTATTAGTTAATTTAAAAAATTTCAAAAACTACCTAACAATTACAAGAAAAAAAGACTTTAAAAAGAACTTAATTGATATTAATTTTTTATTAAATGTTTATTTATAATTTTATGAGTCCTTTATTGTAAATTTTTAGGTTATTTTTTGAAATTTTTTGCATTAATTAACGGTCAAAATTAATTTTTTTAACAATATGGTACCTAATGCATAATTTTTAAAAGTTGAAAAAAAAAAATTACATTACATGAAAATTTATAATATCAAACATTTCTAAACAAATAGTTTAAAGACAAAAATATTCTGTAACCCTTTAAATAACTATATATGATTCTTACAACTCAAAACCATAAAATTGACAATTTTATAGAATTCTACCTTTTCGGTTATTAAAAAAAAAAAAGGAACTATAGCACATGCCTTGATTGTAAAAGTTAACCTGAAAAAAAAAATAATGGCAAAAATATACCTTTGGGTATTTCCCTTTACGCATGATTTTATTTTTATGATTTAATTTTATAAAATATCTTTTTAATACTCAAACCCTAAAATTATTAGTTTCATTAAAAAAATATTGACATTAAATTTTTAAATGCAAATAGAACATTATCAAATGTTGATTTAATAATAATGATTGACATCATTTGACACCAGCAATGCTAGGATTAGAAGATTAAAAAAGCCGGTTTATAAAATTAATGGACCAAACTGAAACATTATATAAAATTAGAGACAAGAAATGTATACCTTTGCCAAATAAGAAACTGTGCTAAGTCTAGTCATCAAGACCAAATGCAAAGCCCACATGCCATAGAAGATCCAAAAGAAAACATGGATTGGACAGCAAGGGATCATACATGGGATCTCTAGCAGTGTCAATCATTAGAGCTAGTATAGCTTCATCATTGAGTCCCTTGGTATGTACACATAAAATGATGATGATCAGAAGCTTTCAGGGGGACTTTGGTTTGGAAGGAAAATTCACTGTCTTTGCCTGCACAGAGGCGGGCTTTGTAAACCAAGTGGAATACAGAAACTGCTTATGAGCCCCTACATGGTTGCATATCAGGCGAACTTTCTGCCTCTCTCTCATCCATCTCAGTACTATCTTCATGTGCCTCTTGCACGTCAAATCTTTCAATCCAACTTCCTGCACAGAGTCATAGCCCTCAATCAATAACTACTCCTATAGAAAAGCAACCAATCCTCTGATCCAGCTTGCAAGACACTTCCAACCATATTTCACATACCAATAAAAGTAGTTATCTCCTTACTTCCATGAAAAATTAACATGTCTTTCCATTTTTTGCTCTTAGCCCCTTTATTATGAAGAGTGAGGATAAGTGTTCAGTTACATTATATTTCTCATGTCCACATTAATTAATACATAAGTAAATTTGAAAAAAATAGTTTCAAAAAGTACTAGGTGTCCTATTTTTTGACCAAGTTTAGCTGGAAAAAAATATTTTACAATTTGGACCGGAAGGAGTATATACAAAGGTGACTTAATAAACCAAAATCAGAGTATCCTTCTTATGATCACCTATCAAGACGAAACAGTTTATAAAATGAAAATACAATGGGTATACCAAGCCAAAAAGTTTCAACTTGATAATCATAGACCTCACTAATATTTAGTATGTGTTTAAACTCAGACAGACAAGCAAGTGGAGTGGAATTCAACAACTATTTCAGAAACCATATAAAAAAGGCAATATGTTCAGCTTCTAACCTTCACATGTTCCCATGTCTCTGCAACAGTGAGAGGGCCATGCTCCTTCACAATATCAAAAAGAACCCTAGTGATTGTTTGCCTCTGCTCTGGTGGGGTTTTAAGCTCTATTGGTTTCATCTTTGGCTTTGATGTCTTAGCTGCATACCTAATCGCTGTCCCAAACATCTATGAAGAAATGACAAAATGTATTGTGTAAGAAAATTTTGAATACTTATACCATGTTTTTGAGGCTGAGATTTTCCTGAAAAGAGCTGAGCCTAGGACTGAGTGAAATATCCCATAGAATTGTAAGATAGAAAAGAGAGGGGGAGAAAAAAAAGTTCCCAGTAATATGTATGCCATGCTGGTGAAAACTTGATTACACTTCCGACCAGAAGGATCAAGAACCAATTTAGAGAGAATAGTGGAAAATGGACCAACTTCTATGATAGAATCAATAATTTAGATTTTTTATTTATTTTTTATGTTTTGCAAAGAACAAGGAACTAGTTCACAATTGAAGAATTTGTCAAAACCAACTCCATTAATTTTCTCATGAGCAAGACAGGAATTACATTAAACTTGTCAGACAGGAAAACTTAATTGAATATTAAACTTGCATCCTTTTGGAACTAGGAATTACATTATACATGCACATCATCCAGATATTATGGATCAACGCACTTATATTCTTCCTCTAACAACATAACCTGAAGAATTGATAGAACATATCAATGTAATTTAAATACTGCACTGCAAAAGCTCATAGACTTGATATTAGTTGAGATTCAAACAAATCCGCTCATATGCCAGTGAAGCTTGAAGAACTATCAAGAACAGATATATGCCAGTAAAAACTCTTAAATAGACTTTAAAATTTACCCATGAAATGATAGAATTCATTCCAATGGGAAAAGCCAGTAATTTGGCAAATATTGTATAGGAAATCAATGAGCAAACAGCTTACACAACATTGGCCGTAATTTTGAAGGTAAGCCCAATGTTCATTTTTTATGCATATAGAATGACCAAAACGAGTATTAAAATGTTGTGTGGATAGTTTCAACTATAGCAAGGATAGTCATCGAATTTGAAAAGCACTAGAAGTACGGGTACCACAAAATTTTATCAAACACAAGTATGTAATTTTGGCTGTCATTGAAGAAAGAAACAAGCCAAAACAGTTAAGTCACAGCATTCCCTAAAAGAGTCTTAAATATGAAATACTACTTGAAGAACTCAAATAAGGGAAAACTTGCTACCACACTGCAGTGAAAATTGATTTTTTACATTTGCAAACAAAATCTTAAATTCTTAATATGAAATACCACTTGCAGAACTCAAACAATTGAAAACTTGCTCCCACACTGCAGTGAAAATAGATTTACATTTGCAAACAAAAAGAAAGTTCTGAAGATTTTTCTCTTTTGGCCAGAAGTTCTGAAGAATTATAACAAAAAAATTTTAATGCAGCAGGAAAAGCCCAAAAACCTAAAGCACAGTTATAACAATTATCCATTTTTTGAGCCAAAATTTAATAATTCAAAGACTTAAATTGATTGATTCATCAGTTTCAACTAAAAAGAATTTCTTCACAAAAAAAAAAAAAAGTCCCACATGATAATCCAAGCTAGCCAAGACCATCATATCATCATCGTAGCTCATACTAAGAACTTTAATAGCAGCATGAAAATGATTGCTTAACTTCTTTTCTGCAAGTTAACAGACCCTCTTAGGTGGCAAATGGTATGTAGTGATATTGACCCAGTCATCTCACATAATATTATATCTCGGAAGTTAGGATTGGAAGACAGCGTCTAGTATGTTGTTTTACGATAATAAGGGGGCATTTGAGAAAACTCCCTCATATCACATCCCAAAGTGTTATCTGATATGAAAGCCTAAATATTTTATCATCTCAGATCACCGGTTTGTAAAGGATAAATAACGGTTTGAATAGGATAATACTTTACTATGAAGGAGATTAGGAGAACATGAACAGAAGAGCAAATGGAGAAGATAATATTCCATTTTAGTTTCAGCTCAAAGGTGCGAGGAAGGATACCCAAGTTGAAACGCTCAAATCGTACCCATGCTATGCCTTTCACCTTCTGAAATTTTTTCCTGCTAGAAATGAACTTCGCTCTTATATTTCAAGTTATACATAACAATTTTCTACCAAGATTTCCAGCTCAAGCCTGGAAAATTTGTTAGTGACCAGAAATTTACTAATTATTATTGACTAATTATGTTTGGACCATTACTCAATCCGTTTCCAGAGGAAACTTTACCAGAAAATTAATCGAACCACCGAAAAATAGCGTTTGGACAGAACAATAATCAACTAAAGAAAGGAAAAAAAATAAGTCCACCAAACCAGGCAAAAACTCACCGGACGCTGAGCAGAAATCGAGAGCTCGGGGACAAAGCAAATAGGGTCGGAGAACTGCAAAGCCGGTTCTGTTTATCTTTGTTAAATGAAAAAAAAAAAAAAATCATTTTAATCTGATTATTACTCAGTTATAATTTAATTTTTAAATTTTAATTTATTATAATTTAATTTTAAAATTTTGTGTCTCTATAATTCCAACCACTTAAATATTAATATTTATATTTTAAAAAATAAAATTATAAAAATTAAAAATATTTTAATCTTTTAATTTTTATAATATTTAAAAATTAAAAAATTATAATTATAATATTTTAAACATTTAACATTTGTAATATTTATAATATTAGTAATAAAATTATAAAATTTAAAATTATGTTAAAATTTATTATTAATTTTTTAAATTATTAAACTCTTTTAATCTTTATAAATATTATAAATATTAAATGTTTAAAATATTTTAAGTTTTTATACTTTTATTTTTTAAAATATAGAGATTAATATTTAAATGATTAAAATCATAATGACTAAATTATAAAGAAAAAAGTTTAAGGATTGAGTTATAATTAAATTAAAACTATAAAAATTAAGTTATAATGAGTTAAAATTTAAAAATTGAATTACAATTAGACCAAAATTATAAAGACTAAATAATTAATTTTTTCTTATTAAATAAATTATAATTACAAAATTGGATAAATAATATATAAACTTAAGGTTTTTATATATATAGCCTATATTATAGGATCAACCTAAAAAATAGTTCAATATTTATTATATTTTGCATTATGATCAATTTATTATATTTGTCAATAATATACCATTGTATATCAATGATAAACCCTTCTAAATTTTCAATTATAAACCTCTTGTATGTCATTGATAAACTCCTTATATATCAATATGAACCAACAATACTCTCAAATGTTTAAAAATTTAGTTCATATTTTTTAGCACAAGATTATTTTTAAATAGTAGGCAATTTATCCTATAATCTTTAACATAAAATTAATTATGGTTTGAATATAAAATTAATACATCTGTTAATAAAAAAGAACTTAAAATTAATATCTAATTGCTAGCATGATAAAATATATGGTTGAAAAACCCCAAACAATATACATAATTTGGAGTTTAAGAAATATTCTCATAAATTTTAAACAATATCTAAAACACTTAGGATCTTTTTCTCAGTTCATATAATTAATCTATCTTCTCCCTTCTCTCCCTCCATCACCCTTCTGGTTTTACATCAATGGACATTGAAGTAGCCAGTTTCAATCCCATTTTGCTCCCCACAGAAACTTATTTAAATAGTATCCAACTTGTTGCCAAAGTCAAATCTACCACATCTACTCTTTTTCCCCTTTATCCTCTTGATTTTGCATCAATTAGCACTCAATCCCTCGTGCAAATGCACAAGCAGCATATACTTATACTTTACATAATCAAAAAATGGTTCCATAGTCAATCTCTATAGCAAAGAAATTTCAATAACCTGTAAATGCAAAATATAATTTCTACACAAATTTAAGAAGATTTTCAAATGAAGAAAAAACAAATTGTGAGGGATGCATATCTCTTCACCGTGGACCTCAATTACATTCATTATTTAGCAAAATATTTCAATATAAATTACTAAATCCATAGAATTACTTAAAATCTTACTAATAAATGTTTAAAATACATTAGCCAATACAAATGATCAATAAAACCTAATTATAAGTCAAGTAACAAACATCAATTACTTAAAATTCCAATCACAAACTTACATTGGCTTACTCTTCTATAATTCAATCTTTTGTTGTTTGCAAATTCCTAGAAAAATTTCTATGACAACATCTCTATATCCATATACTTAGGGAAAAAAACCTCCATAGATGAAGCCAATATAATGGACATAAAACAATATCAAAAATATGCTTTTGCTCAAACATTATCTTGATTACTAGTTGATTTACCTTATGTTGTAAAGAAACACGGCCATAACTTATATAAGATGATATGGTTGATTGGTCATATGAATAGTAGGACTTGTTGAAGGGAAATGATGAGAGGAAAATTTACGAAGACTCTTTCTATTTAGTTAACGAAATTGATATGATAAATATAATAGCTTCAAGAGTTTGAATAGTTCTCTCTATCTGTCCATCAATTTGGAGGTAATAAGTTGTATTGAATTTTAACTTAGTACCCATGGCTTGGTGCAGTACTTTTTATAAGTTTGTGTGAACCTCAAATCACAATCTAACACAATCTCTTTTAGCACCCCATGTAATCTTACAATCTCCTAAATGTAGACTTTTGTGAATTGCTCTAAAGTATAGTCGGCTCTAACAGTTAGAAAATGTGCAAGTTTGGTTAAATGGTCCACTATGACCTAAATAGCATTGTGATTAGCAAGGTACGTGACAATCCCATAATGAAATCAATAGAGATGCAATCCCATTTTCACATAGGGATCTCCAATAGTTGTAACAACCCTAGGGGTTTATGCTGTTTGATCTTCACTTTTAACAAGTCAGATATCACGAGGCATATTTTGTGACATCTCTTTTCATAACACCATCACTGACTCTTCATGTCTTGATATATTTTGGTGGCTCCTAGGTGGATTGTAAACTTCCTCCTATAAGCTTTTACCATAATGATGTCCCTAATTCCCTTATCATCAGGTACACATGTTTGATCTCTATATACCATAAATTCATCATTATTAAACCAAGAATCTATGGTCCTATTGACCTCACTATCATTTCTAATCTCTAAAAGGTACTTATCTTCTAATTGAGCTTTCCTCAACCCTTTCCAAAACTTGTTAGTTATCACTATCATATTTAAGTTGTATACATCAAAGTTTGGGCTATTCTAATTCTTACTAGAGAAATCTTCAAGCAATTTCTATTCACGCATCATTATCCACACCACATGGAGTGTCTTACAACTCAAGGCATCAACCATTGCATTGACCTTTTCCAAATGGTATTTCAACTCATAGTTGTAATCTTTTAAGAATTCCATCTACCTTTACTACCTTCACTATCTTATTTGAGACTCTTATGATTACTAAACACTTCAAATTGTGAACCATAGAGGTATTACCCCCAAATCTTCAAGGTAAATGCAACCTTATTTTCTAAAATTTCAAAACACCCTTAGAGTATCATATAAAGGAGCCTACCCTTTGAAATCTCCCTCAATATCATCATTGAGGGTGTTTTGAAATTTTCTAAGGCTATGTAAGTATGCTAAATATTTTTATAAGTACATTTTCAACCTTGTTTTTGTAATTCTAATAGTGAAACAATTGGGGCATTTGTAATTTCAAATTTTGGTAGTTCTAATAGATTAATTTGAGTTTAAATATGTTTATAGAGATAAATTAAGTGTTTAATCGAATTAAAATTATTCAAATGTTTGATTTGGAGAATTTGAGTTTAAGGTTTGTAATAAAGTGGATGTTAAAGGTGGTTGATGATATTTTAACCATTTAAATTTGAAGTTCATACTTGGGTTATGTTTAAATTGTAATATTCTAAAATTTAAAATAAATATTAACTAAGATAATTAAGGAAGTTTAGTTAATTAATTAAGATCATTAGGAGTTAATTCTTGTAAGGGAATGACCATTTAAGGCTTAAAATGGGGCCTAGGGAGCTTTTGGGCTATTTTAGGCCCATATTAATAGGTTTAAGTTAGAGTTCCCATTCTGTGTCATCCATTGCAATGAATGGTATAACATCCTAAATTTTCTAATTTTAAAAATAATTGCTAATTAGGGGTAAATTAGTAAATTAGTAAGTAATAAAGGTTATAGGTGTTAGTTTAGTTTTTAACTCATTAAGATGTTGAATGAACAAGTTTGAGTGGAAAGGTTATGTCGTAAAGTTAAGCTTGTGAGTGCTGTGAAGATGTCTCTCATTATGCCATGCATTGTGACAAAAGCTGCATGCGTTGTGACATACAATACAGAAAAATGGCTAATAAGTATGTAAAAGCTCGTGGTTTTGATGAAGAAGGGAGAGAAAGCATGAAAGGAAAAGAGGAGAAGCCTATCCTTTAGTAGAGCATCGATTCTTGAGAGCTCGGGAGACATGTTCAACTAATAGCTTATTGAGTAAGTTTTGTACTGCCTTTAGCTTCAATTCTACCCTAATTTCTCTTGTATAAGTTATAGAGAAATTGAATCGGAAAGTTTTAAGGGTTTATTTCTTACCTTTTAGTAATGAAAAGATTCTCGATAATCGAATTAAGATTTTACAAATAGTTTAGAGTTAAACAATAAAGCTTTATGACTGTATGCTCAAATTAACCCTAAACTAAGAGAAAATGACAATGGAATTTGGCAAGGAGGTATGTTAGGATTGATAAAAAGGGATAATTAGATTGTAAGGAACTTAAATTTGCCCAAGTGAAAGGAAATGGATAGTTAAATGTGGTTTTAAGTGATAATTAGTACTTGTGATCAATTTGATTAATTAATTAATGGTGCTAATTGTATGTAGATTATCGTGTTATATGAATATCTTAAGAGAGGAAGTGTGTGGGGACATTAATTATTAAGAAAAATCCACAGTAACCCTTTCTTACGATAAAAGGTTGAGATAACCAAATAACTTACTTTATTTGATTATCTACTTCACTATTTGTGAGTATGAATATTATTGCATAAAATTGTTTTAGATTGTGCATATTTGAAAAGTGAATGATTAATGCATGAAAATGATTTCAAAGGAAATGAGTTTATAAAATTACAATATTATGTGACTATATTTATATATATGGATTTGAATACAAAAAAGTAGTTTGTATGTGAGTATAATCATGATAGGGGGTGAGAATTCACCTATAGGGAAAAGCAGCGAGGTCCACATGACATTTATTCTCCTCAATGCCTAACGGGGTACGGTGTTAGAGAATTTTATCTTTTTACTACCTATTAAGGTACGGTCTTAAAAATTATTTTCTTAGTGCCCATGTAGGATACGATGTTAGAGATTTGTGCTCCTTAACATCTGTATGAAGTAGTGTTAGAGTAACGATGCCCCAATCATTGTGTGTGATAGGGGAAAATTATAGTCTAG